GGGAAAGAGGCTTACATTTATTTGATAAATGATTCACTTAGCTCTGCTGGACGTGCATACAATGATTAACTACTGAATATGGGATTAAGTTCTAACAACTATTTAACAAATGAGGAAGTACATGCATTTGCTGATCTTAATAAGTTTTAGTTAGCAATTCTAAAACAGCTGACTTCCAAGAGAAAATGGTTAGCTGTTAGTAAGCACACACCAAAAAAGCCCTCTTACAAATGAAAAATTGGTATTCTGTTCTTAACTCAGCAGTTTATTAATTATCAGATAGGGTTTGGGTGCCAACTTGCCCTGCAGTTTTATATTTTACTTATTAAAATATTACTCACAGCATAACCGCAGTGCAGAGGTATGGGCTGGGGCTCAGGCGATGTGGGTTCTGTCCTATTTCTACCATTGATCTGACCTTGGAGAAACTTAACTCTTTATCCCTCTTCTTTTATTATTTATTTGTACTCCTATAACCGCTAGGAACCCTGCTTACAGGCCAGGCCCCCATTGTGCTAGGCACTGTACTAACACAGGAGGAAAAAGCAAGCCTAGGCACCAGAGCACTAAGTCTATTTAGTGTGTGAGCTGCTTAGGAAAGGGACCGTGCCTACATGTTTGGACAATACTGAACACAAACCCCCCAAATCTCAGTTTGGCTTCCTATGTAGAGCTATAACTCAAGGATTTTGCTTCAAGAAAATTGCAGACCCAAATTTAGGAAATCCCTAAGACTTTTTTTCCCCCTAGTTCTTTCATATTAACATACTTCGCTCAGTCACAGAAAGTCAAATTTAACCCAAGCTCAAACACCCCCCCCATACACTAAATAAGACCTTCTCTGCAGCTAGCATGCACTTATTTAGATGTGGCTCTGGCTAATTCATCATTCAAGTGTGATCCCTTCTCTTCTTATTTAAAAACAGCACTGGTATTAACAAATGACATTTACGGAGACGATTTTTTTTAAAACGACGCTCAATAAAAACCCAGTGCTTATCATCTGGCTGAACTGGAATGTTTAAGTGCGTTACTGTCATAAAGCACTCTAAATGTCAGGCTGTATATCCAGAGCTAATCTGTATTCAATCCAGACCCTTCTGCTCCTGAATTCAGGAGGTAGGGGGCATATTTGTTTTCATGGTAAGGTAGTGATCTGTATGAAAGACGTGAAGGAGAAACATCCAACTCCCAAGCCAAGTTGTACCAGTGATGCTTAGTTGAATCTCTGCGACTCACTTTTAGAAACCAGCTCCTGGGAGCTCTGTTTCATCTGAATTATTCTTCCACAGGTAAGTAATTCCCATAAGAATTGCAGGAGCTCCCTCTCCTTTCTCATGATGTGTCAGGGTGAGGCCATTGTATGGTGTATTATTTAATTATGCAAGGCAATGCTCCCAGTTTTGCTCCATTATGTTGCACACCATGGGTTGCTCCCTAGCCAGTGTAAATCAACGTAGCTCCATAATGACCCTCACTTCCTTTGTCAAGTGCTTTAAGATCTGCCGGGGCTGATTACTCATCATTACTCTGTCTTACACTAATGAGGATCTTGCCCCAAACCCTGATGTTAATTAACATCATTATTTCAGGATCTATGTGGATCATGCCATGATACACAGACACACACAATACAGATGCATGGTCTTGTGTTAAAGGCTTGCTATCGAAAGATACTTCAGGCCCCCTTCTGCAATTTGCATAGGTCGTCCCACTGAAGTCAAGGTGAATGGGACTATTTGGTGTGTCAAGATAGCTCACAGGAGCAAGTTGAGATATCTGATCTGGGCTGTTGAGATATGAGGCACTTCTCTAAAACAAGCCAAAAACACAGCAATATTCAGGAAGTGGAAGAAACAGGCACGCTCGCAGAACAGCACAATTGCACACACCCAGGTCTATCTAGCAACACCTTCTACCATTGGCTTTTAGGCAAAACTCAACCTCTCTCTTCAGAGCCACCTTTGATTTTGGCAGTGAAAAGTGTTCCAACACCAAGTACAGAAGATCAGTCAATCCACTCGACCTGGCCAACTCACCTGTGGAGCATCTCCCATACCACGTTTCTCTCAGAGGCGGGAGCTGTCTTCGAAACACGGGGCTTCTCTCCTCCATGGCTGCGTATGAGCCCAAGCTCCTCTCTTCCAGAACGCCAGGAAATTGAGACAGGGTCGCAGAGCAAGGGGAGGCTGGCACAGCTTCTTTGGTTTGCACCGGTGCCACTTTTGTCACCTTGGGGCGCGTCTTGGAGTGGCTCAGGCCCATTTTACTGAGTTACAGCATTCGGTGGAAGAAACTGCTTCCCTGCAGTCGTCCTTGAACTTGGCCTCAACACTGATCTGTGTCTTTCATGCTGCACCCGTGTTTGCAAAGCCTCTAGGCTCTTTCTAGGGCATCTTACCTGAACCAACACCACACACGTTGCAGCCCGAGTGGCTGGTTACCTTGGATATTCCTCCACAAGCCCTTCCCTTCTAAGTCCAGATTTGGTGAGGCCAGTTAAACATTGACCGGACATGGTCACTCCCTAGAGGGGATGAGAGGCTGGCTGCTATTGAATATTAAACAAATCCAGGACAGTCTGGGAGGGTAATACCAAATAACAAATTAGGCTTTTGGAAAGTTTTCCTTTTCCTCACCTTAACTATTTATGCCATAAAACACTTTTACTAAAGGCTCTTGCTTGGCTCCCCAGTGATTGACCTGAAGAGCTTTTCCTTTGCTTCTCTTCCTGGCTGCTTTGTAGAATCTGTGCTCTGATAAAGGACGTTTGTCCCTGAAGTACTAGAGGAAACTTCAAGGAGCTTAGGAGATGCAACCTGTAATTGAAAAAGAAAAGAAAGGCTGGAGAAGAGCTGGAGTGACACTGTGCTGTGTGTGAAAAGCAAGACTCCTTCACTCCGGTGACCCTGGCTATATCGCTCTGCATCCGAGGGTGCATCTCCACTGCAATCTGAGTTAGCTTGAGCTGAACTAGCTCAGGTATGGGAAGCAGTTTTCTCTGACAAGGTGAATTACCCTGCATGAAGCTCCATGCTGCTGTGTTTCAACTGCTTCTAATCTATCAGCTGGCTCATTTCAAACCATCTCAGCTACCTCTACCCTATGCATGTTCAGAGGTGCCCTGAGAGTATATTTGGGATTGCTCAGACTTCCCTGAGCTTGCCGGAGGGTAACGCTGGGCAGACTACACGTGCATTTATGTCGCATTAAATTTACTGTGCAGTAAGTTACTACACAGTACGTGGAAATAGGCCAGTGTCTACACGTGCAGGTGTTAAAGTGTGTTAACACTGTGTGTGGTCTGACTTGGGACTAAACTTAGCCCCAAATCAGTCTACACACACAGTGCTACTGCGCAGTAAACATATACACATGCATTCTTGCGCAGTAACTAATCAGGCGTTAATTTGATACCTGCATCAAATTTGCACCCAAGTTGGTATAAGTCACCATAGTTACTGCACAGTAAATATGCACATGTAGATGTGTACCCATACTGTGCAGTAATTTAGGTTACTGCGCAGTAAATGTGCATGTGTAGACATACCCACGGAGTAGAACTTGGTCCTAGGAAAGACTATCTTTCTGTTCACCCATTTTTCTTTTCCAGTCTCTGGGGATTCCCATACTAACCATAGCCTGGCTGACCCACCCTGAAAACATTCTCCACACTTCCAAGCGCTCACCCCACATTCTTCATTCAGTCCCTTCCTCGGGCCAAACTCTTTCTACACATCAGTGCAGGTTTTGCATAAAGAAGGACAGTATCCAAGTTTTCAATTAGAGGAAAATCCCCTTGTAAATTGGCAGAAGTTGGTGATACTGAGTCTGAGTCATCACTGCAGGAATTGGGTGAAGCAGAATGCACAGCCTTCTAACAGTAACTTGTATTTATCCATTTTTCTGGTGTTTAGGATTACAATTAATTTTATCTATCTATCCATCTATCTATCTATCTGTCTCTACGTATTAGGTCTGGAATGGGCTCCCAAGGGAGCTGGTGCTCTCCCTTACCCTGGGGGTCTTCAAGAGGAGGTTAGATAACCATCTAGCTGGGGTCATCTAGACCCAGCCCTCTTTCCTGCCTATGCAGGGGGTTGGACTCGATGATCTATTGAGGTCCCTTCCGACCCTAACATCTATGAATCTATGAATCTATTTCTATACAGATAGATAGATAGATATTATATTTTATATCCTACATATTACATATATCTAATATATATATAATTATATATATAATATATTATATAATATAATATATATATATAATTACATATATCTAATATATGTAATATGTAGGACATGTAATCCTATCATATACATACAATATTTAGGATATATATAATATATGTAAGATGTATAATAGAATAGATACATATGATATGATGGTAGATAGTGAATAGATGATACAGTGAATTGTATGTAATATATGTAGTAATTAGGATATGTAATCCTATCTTATACCTATGACGATACGCAAAGAAACTTCTATATAAGTCTAGATTCATCTTTTCAGCTCTGTGGGACAGATGAGTGGCGCATCGGCCTGATCCCGTGCACTGAATCCAGCCATGTGCTGGTCCAACCTCGCACTCTGGCCCAACCCTGCTTGCTGGATCGGGCCACAGAGTAACCCCCACACACTAGCCCCCTAGCAATCTAGCATGCAGGAGTCATAGGGTTCCTCACAGGTATGCAAATTTGACAGCAGGGTGGTGACAATTCATGTTGCCACTATTCCCCCCAGCACCAAATTTGTAAACCCATGAGGAGCCCCATGGGCCAGATGACAGGGCTCTGTGGAATGGATCTGGCCTGTGGGCTGGAGGCTGAGCACCACTTGTCTACTAGGCTAATATTGTTAGCATTATTTTACAGCATGAGTCTTGGGGTAGCTGGCAGGAAAGCAGATGAATAGAAAGCAACAAATGAAGGACGTGTGTGTGTGTGTGTGTGTGTGTGTGTGTGTGTGTGTGTGTGTTTTGATTTTAGTTTCATTCTTTATAATTGCCCAGTTCAAGAGAAGAATTAAATGTACCTTTCTATTATAGGGGCAAATATGAACATCTAAGGATGGAAACAGATGCTGCCTTTGTACCACCATAAAAAAATTGATGATGGCCCAGAGGCCAAGCAAACAGACATGCATGACTCTCGATGCATCACAGACAGTGGCTGTGGCAAAGGCGGTATCAATTTGTGCCACTATTTAGTGGCACATGGCTGTTTGCTTGATATGTGAGAGTGCTGGAGGCTTGGACCTAGCTGTGCTCTCCAGCCACCCCAGGTAGGTGCTCTGGGGGCTTTACAGACCCAATCTTGTTCATGCCAGGAATTCCCAGGCAGGATCATGCCCCTCAAGCCCTGGGGATGCCTGCCCAATTTTCCCTGCTTACAGAGATGTTCTCCTGGGATCTCCAGGGCATATCTCAGTATATGGGGAAAGTCAGGCCAGGCACCCTAACCACTGGCTTAGACTCTCCTGCATTCTTCTCTGCATTTCATTGAAAAGCTTTGTTGCTAGATCGTTAGAAATAACTTCTTCACAGTAAGGGTTGCCAGAATCTGGAACGGGCTTCCAAGGGAGGTGGTGCTCTCCCCTACCTTGGGGGTCTTCAAGAGGAGACTGGACAAGTACCTGGCTGGGGTCATCTGACCCCAGCGCTCTTTCCTGCCCAGGGCAGGGGGTCGGACTCGATGACCTACTGAGGTCCCCTTCTGACCCTAACATCTATGAAGCTATGAATCTATACGCTCAGAAGTCATCCTGCTTTGAATCTGGGCCTGAAGTAATAAAATGCTATTATCTCTGTCAGGTAAGCAAGGGACAAAAGAATGGTAAGAAATGGGTCAGGAGCGAGGGGTCACCCTGACCAAACAGAAGTGTGACCTGGTTGGGAAGCAGTGCCTGGAGAAAGCAAGTGCGAGTGGGATGCATAGTATGAGTTCACAATGAAGTATTAGGGCTTCTGCTAAGGTTAAATGATGGCTTTTCCTCTTTGAACCTTTGGTGCAGAGCTGAAGCAGTGTTCACTAGCAAGAGGTGAGCAGAGATGATGCATTGTGGCCAGCGGCCGTTGATAGCTGAAGGACTCTGGTGAGAGCTTCCTTACTCAGTGGTCAATAGAAATTGCCATCATATCAGCCAGTAGACCTGCTGGACTGGTCTACCTGACTGGCCTGGATTGGGCCCAGCAGGAAGAGGGAAATGACTGGTGCTAGAATGTGTTGCTTGATTCCGAACCACAAGGGAAGGATCCAGATTATTGATGAGGTGCCTTAGGAGTGAGGGAGGGCCAAGACGTACTTCAGAGATGCAGCTGACTTTGTCATTGCCGGCTTTCCCAGGATAATACCTTGACTCTCTTTGTTCCGGCTCTAATAACATTATCTCTGCTTCAGATCCCAGGACTCAGGGCTTATGAGCAAAAAGCAGTGCCTGGCAGGCAAGGTGCCCAGCAGAGGCAGTTTGGTTTTCCAGGTTTCTGGATGGCACGAATTAGGTTTGCAGGAGCCCCTAGGTACTGGAATTCACCGTGGCCAGAAGCTGTATCTCAAATGATGTGGTAGAATATAAAGTCCTTTCTGTACCAGAAGGGAGACAGCACTGAGCTTCAGACAGGCCAGTTGTATTGTTTAGTATCCATACTTATACATTAAAACACACTTTCTCGTCGTTTCAGCCTCATCTTGACCTATTCATCCCTAAATTGCCTTGGATCTTCCTCCAGAAAATGCTCCTTCATTCTCTGTGCCTTCCTGCCATGTGCAGTGATCAGTGGGTCTTGTCAGCTGCTTCCCTTGTGGGCTGGAGGGGACTGGGGGTACAACACTCTTCAGAGGGGGCCTCCAGTTCGCAGCTAGGTTTTCCCCAGGCCTGGTTGGAAATGGTAGATGCCTACTGGGATTTTCACTTCACTTCCATTGACAATCAAAGCAATGAGTCCCACTGGAATTCAAAACACTCCAGCCCAGATCCTCAAAGGTGTAAATGCACTTAGGTAGCAGTCCCCTGAAAAACAAAGTACCTGGGAGGAGTGGGGGCTGTCTGCACTCGAGAAGGTTATTTTTGATCTGTTCATCTTTAGGGCT